GCCGGAATATAATGTGCAAATCTTGCCAACGAGGATATTGGCGATGAAGGAGTCGAGGGAGTCAAAGGGGTCAAAGGTGAGGGAGGAGGAACTTGCAATGTCGAGGCAAGTTGACGGGCCGCATTCGCATCGATTCCAAATCCCGAGCGATAAAAAAATCCCCTCCATATGATATTGTCATTGGCTAGGCGTTGCCAGTGGCGTGAAACTCGCAAACAAGAGAGGATATCTGGCATATCCAAAAAAAGGAGAATGTAGATGGATATCTCATCGGGAATGATACTCAAAATATCTAGAATACGAGGTTAATCTTGGAATCGCTTACTTTGGGCAAATGAAGGGCTCACCGATCCCCCTTGGAGTGGTTGAATCCATGAAGCAAGCTTCGTCGATCAGCTCGCCTTCCTCCCCGTCTAGAGGTCCGTCACTGAGTTGCCCGGTAGAGTGTCGTGGCTGTCTCTTGCGGATACTAAAGAGTTTGTTCGAACGAGAAGAATTGCTGAGATGCGACTTGAGTTTGGGAAGGAATCGCCTACTGGAAGCACGACCAAAAGTACTTGAAGTCGCAATTTGCTCGATTGTGTATGTTACACGAGTGTGTACGGTGTGTTGAAAAGAATCAGGCGGCGGGGAAGGAGGAAAGACTAGGGAAAAATGCGAAGTTGACGTGCTACCAGCGCTGCTCGGTGGCCTCAAATCTTCTGGAGTCACATCTAATAAAACAGCATTTCTGCGGCTGTCAATATCATAAGAGTAATTAGCCGTTACATTGGTCGGGCTCGTGGACGCGTCAACCGTGTTAGATGAAGTGGCAGCTGGCGGAGCCACTGTCTCGGAGATACCGCGGAAGAGTTTAGTGAGCTTGCTGGGACTTCTGTCCGACTTTCTTTGCTCATTCGAGCTTTGCGGTCGTCCACGTTTAGTCGTGTACTTCCAGCCACTTCGTTGGTCACTATCACTGGCACTCATCGTGTCCAAGGCGAACGCGCCACCGTTCACCACAGAGTCGTAT